ATGCCTGTGAACAAGATGGAGAAATGTGGGTTGTATGTTTAGTAAAAGAATGCTGCCTGATGGAAAAATGTCAACCTGCAGGAAGGTTCCAGTGGCATGCCACAGAGCTTTGATCTTGATCTTGTCCTATGAACTATTTTTATTAATGATCTACATGAAAATGAAGAAAGCATACCTAACAAACCTACAGATGGCACAATTATGATAGCAATACTATGCAAATACTTTGTATGGCAGAATTAGAATTAAGCTACATCTCCACAGGATAACGAGTTGAAATCAAATTAGGTAAAATCAAGCCTCTAAACATATTTCCACCTGCACTCCTCCCTCATCCCAAACACACAACTTAAAATAGCTTCAACTATATAATTATATATTAAATAAAGTGTGGCTTAGCCTCAAAACTTGTTAAAAAGTTTTAAGAGTTTAGTTAAAAGTATTCTTGATGTGTATCTGTAGTGTATGTGGCTATCAGAAAAAGCTGATATTGAAGTGAACAGCATTAATGGAAACAGAAGAAGGGACACAACTGATTGCTGGCCATTCCTAAATGAGTCAATCAAGGCGATTGTCTGGGAAGAGTTCCATCTAAGGCACTTCAGATCTACTCCCAGCCCTTGTTCAAGGGGTGGCCAAAGATGGCCATGCTGGTGCTTTTATTAATCACAGAACCTTTGTCTCCGCTCAGCCTCAGCTGACTGAGGGAATAACTGACAGGGCTTGCTAAGAAACTTAAATGCAGCCTAGCACAAAAGTGGTGAACTGGGCTCATAGATTTCCCTCTCTTAGGTTTTTGAACTGAAGTGGAGCAGAATTTGCCACCCATATTTTTCTCTGGCATATTTCTTATTTGGGGATGATTATTTTTAATTAACTGCAGACACAGGAGAAGCTCTGAAAGCCAAGTAAAAATTAACTTTTGTAAGAGTTGTTTACATGTATATGGGAAATTTCTATTTGTAACGGTGTCTACCTCCCTGTACCAGGAGGAGGAAGATGAGTCAATCCTTAGAGACTCTTTTTAAAATTGATTTTTTGAGAGAGAGGAGGAAAGAGAGGGAGAGAGAAACATTAGTGGGAGAGAGAAACATCAATCAGTTGAATCTTGTATATGCCCCAACTGGGACTCAAACCCACAATCTGGGTATGTGCCCTGACTAGGAATCAAGCCCACCACCTTCTGGTTCACGGGATTACACTCCAACCAACTGAGACAGTGTGGCCAGGGCTCTCTGGAGACTCTTAATAATTGAGAAGGAATAACAACTTTACTCTCTTTCACTGTGCCTTTCCTAATAATCTCCCATAACTGGCTCCCCACCCCCAACATCTTTCTTTTGTCATTATCTAAAGACTAGAGTGTATGTAATTCATGCACTGGAGCCGGGGGGGGGGGTGTCCCTCAGCCTGGCCTGCCCCCTCTCACAGTCCGGGAGCTCACAGGGGCGGGAGGTGACCTGGCGATCAGGGGAAGGTGACGCCCCATCATACCTCTGCTGCTGCCACTGCCAGCAGTGCAAGCCTTGGCCAGCCCTGGTTTCCTGAGCCTCGGGCAGCCCTGGGCAGCTGCACAGCTGCCATCCGAGGATTGCCTGTGCCTCAAGCTGGACCTGGGTGGCTGGGAGGCTGAGGGGACTGGGGGACTCCAGAGGCAGGCGTATGGAGCAGCCGGGCCCATGTGGGGGCGGGCCCCGCTTTGCTGCGTGCCTGCTGTCCCAGTGGGGTTGAGGGGACTGGGCGCCGCCATCTTGTGGCTGTGGGTGCTGCCATCTTTGAGGGCGTGACAGTCAATTAGCATACTCCTTCCTTATTGGCTGTGGGCACCTCCATCTTTGCAACAGCATGAGGGTCAATTAGCATATTCCCTCTTTATTAGATAGGATTGTATTTAAGGTGATGCGTTAGGCCATTTCAGCAGGTTACTCAGTTTTCCTGGGTGTCTCCTGTGTATACAGGAGGTACACATATTATTAAACTTCTGTTTGTTTTTGCCCTGGTAAGCTTTTATTATAGGGTAGGCTCAGCCAAGAACCTATAATAGTAAAAGGAACATAATTTTCTTTTCCTACAAGATAATCAGATAGTTAGCAATGGGACATGCAGCTGAAGTGATGGAGTGAGAGATGCCAGTGGGTACAGTGGAGTCACGTGGTGGCAGTGGAAACTAGACGATGTTATGACAAAGTAGAAACTATGTGGTAGATAAAAAATATAATGAGCTGATGATACACTATTGGACAAAGAAAGAGACAGAGAGGGGTCAAATATTTAGAGGATTGCCGAGTCATATTAGTGCCAGAGACCCATAGGGCTTACCGGCCAGTGAGAATTTACCAAAATTTCCTGGGTTCCCAGGAACTGACTATATACTTAAAAGATGCTTGCAGTGAATTTCCCGCCAAAATATAAGATGGCTCTGTCTTTTGGTTTTGTTCCATCCACCAAAAGGTGGATTACAAACAAATATTTGGTATACGCAGTTACAATCGGCCCGAGTTTAC